GTCGAGCGCATTGTTCACTTCATTTTACATTGTTTTAAGATCCGCCTCTTCAAACCGCACGCGGCATTTGGAACGTCTAGACTGTGACGTCACATGACGTCGTATGTTAGCTGCATTTCCATAAACGAAGTCTGAAAAGTGCAAAAATATTAGCAACGTTTAATCGACTATCTGTATGCAATATTCATTAAATTAAGGTGAGTTTATTTTCTGTGAAATTTTAGTTGTTGTTACCTCGCGAATGAAGTTTGCAGCGAGAACAACAAGCGATGTATTGTGGGTCCAGAAATACTGCGGAAAAAAATTCTATTGAATGAATGTGCAGTAGTCCGAATTTTATCTTCGCCCAGGCGTTGTCGTTAGAGCTTGCAGGGACGAGCGGCGCTTCGCGCCGCTCGCTTCGCTCGCTATAATTACAATAGTATTATAGTATTATAATATTAAAGTATTATAGGCTAATTTACGCACTAATTTCACTCTTTAATTTCTTTTATTTCTTCTAAAAAAAGAAAAAGAACAGGAGAACTGTAGCTATTAAATGTACTACGTACTACGTTTTTATTTCAATAACCTTGAAGTACTTCATCCAAGGACACTGTATCAAATTTAGCTGACCTCTAATCAGAGAAGAAATCGGTTGAAAAAAGCAGTGTCAGATTACATGTACTCTTACATTGGTTTGATTTTTGTTCGTTTAACGTCCATTTCGAGATTTTTAATTCATATTGAGACACCGCTACTTGCCAATGAAAGGCTGCAAAGTTAGACATGCACTCGGCACTAAAGGCGTTTGAGCAGTGAAGGATCTTTTTCGCGGCAACACCTATGCGACACGAGACCTCAGTTTATACGGGCTCATCCGGAGGACCTGTCTAAACGTTCCGGGGTGGGATTCAGATCTTGACCCGCAACGTAAGGATCAAATCCTTACTCCGCGACTCTAGAGAAAATGCCCCAACCACTGCGCTACGCAGGCGACCCTATATTGGTTTGACAGAATATGACAACAGTGTAAACTATTTTAACTTTAAAAAACCTGTGATCAATATTGTTAAAATCTATAAATTTTATACTACAACTGTATATAATTGTCGATTCTTATTGACCTAATACGCAAATACCTTCTTATAAGCTCATTATATATATAAAAAAAAATCAGTTGGTTACATGAATAAGATGATTTCCATTAAAAAGACGCAATATTCATACAGAAAAAGGAAGTTTGAATGTTATATACATGTTTTATCCTTATTGTCTATCTCTAACCACCTTTTACAGCATTACTTTTAACAGAATGTTTCTTTGTATTCTTGTTGTATGAATAAGGAAACATTAATAAAAGTAATGGGACATAAAATTCATTCTGAATAAACATTGTAAATTTTATGCTCAATACTTCTGAGTTTCAAAAGCCTCTAGAACCTAACCTATCCTTTCATCTTATCAGAAACTGAACATCTCTGTAAGTGGCTCTTGTAATTGTTAAGGTTTTATTTAAAAATCCTCTTTTTCACCCAATCAGAAAATGAAAATTTTTCTATTAAAGGATCATATAATTTTTAGATTTTTTTTTAATCTAGGCAATGAAAAATTTGCGTAAGGGTTTAAATTAAGTACGTTTATCATTTTAAGTAAAATTTTTAGTTCTTAAGATTTAGGTTTGGTCGCTCACATCCCTCCGCCCATTTCTGACTATTATATTGTTGTTTTTGATCTGATTATTACATTGCGAGTTTAGTGTGATGATCCTTCAAAAGACTTGTCAATAAACCATTTGAAACTGTTTTGAAAGTGTTGATGTGATAGGCGCGAAAGAAGAAATAAATTGGTGAGTAAATTCTTAATACTGTAATGTCTTAATTGAATCATACATGTACATTCATTCTATATTCGAATTTTTTCTATACCTGTAGATAATATTCAAAATTTCCTAAAGATACCTTCTTTCTAATGAAGACTTTTTTTTATGATTATTTGTCTGTCTGGCTGTCTGTGTTTCTATGGGATTTCTGTTTTGTATAATTCGTTTTTTTTGTCTATAATCTAAAATAATATTTTTTTTATTCAAAGATGAAAGAGAATCGATTCTAGAACTGTAGGAGCTACACATTTCCTGTCTCTTTGATCGAGTTATTTACCCTGTTTTTTTTCTGCAAATGTTCCTGAAATTTGCTCAGTGCAATAGATTTGGGAATTATAATTAGAGGAAAGTTAGTATATGGGCTTTGAAACTCTTCTGTGCTGAGTGTAATCTGAATAAAATTTGTCATTACGGTACAGCCCCCCTCGGTCACTGCTCCTGTTCGAATTTTCTCGATGAAAAAAAAAAAACAAACAAACTGCGGTTCCTACATGATAATTGAACTGATAGCATGATTACGTACATGTATTCATAAATGGACATCCATCAAGTACTAAAACTTTAGAAAACACACAATGTGGGGGTTCAGTACAATTATGGCGTATACTGTTAAAGAAGAAAATTGGATGCATACAAAAGTGCCAAGGCATTGATGCAAATAAAAATTATCGAATGTCAATTTCTTTCAAAATTAATTTAGCGCAGATTTGATCTGTTCAACATCCTATTTTTGCCGTCAGTCAAGTGACCTCACATTACCTACGACTTTTAACTCAGATATTTTGGGACAGAAAACATTCTACGTGACACAAGTTACAATCCTTTAATCAACTAGTAAATTAAAAAAGAAGGAAATTAAATTTTGGTACGCCTAATTAATATCAGATAGATCTCGGGAAAAGACGCAAACGAGAGTGTCATGAGAGTATCTAAATCTTAAGATGGCGTCAGCCGCGTGGCGCAGTGATTAAAGAGTTTGCTCTAGATCTCGGAGTAAAGAGTTGATCATTTTGTCGCGGGTTCGAATCCACTGTTGGTCGTGGAGACTGGTGCTTTGGATGAGACCGTATAAACCGAGGCCATGTGTCGCAGTAGGTGCTGGCACGAAAAAGATTCCTCACTGCTCAAAGAGCGTAAGTGCCGATTACAAATATTAATTTGCAGCCCTCTATCAGCAAGTAATGTGTCTCAATATGAGTGAAAAATTCTCGGAGGGAAGTTAAACAAGTAATTTAAAGCTGCCCGTCTTGAAATTTTTTTTTTCATATGGTGGATTCCTGCTGGCAATAAAATTAATATAAGAAGGTGTAGTAAAAGTATAAATTTTGCCTTGTAAATATTATTGAATGGAAAATCGTTGGGACCTCCATACTTTAATTTTTTAACGACACACGACCACAAGGCTCTAAATATACGTATATGCACTGTATAATCAATAATTTATATGCAAATAGATATTTTAAATCAAACAAAAGTTTACTTTAGTTTACAAAAAGCAGTGCAATGAGTGTATCATAATTACGACACATTTTTACCGATAGAACAAATAACGAAAGTTTTATACAAACTCAAGTTAAAATTTAAAATTTATGCTAATTTCAGTTTGGAAATGGGTCAGAGGTTCTTTGCAGTAGCAGTTTTGAGTGTTTTGATGCAGATTCGTGGAAATGTGGATTACTGTTCGTCTGAACTAAGGTGTAGATGTTACACCTTCTCTAATGATATTCACGCCGATTGCTCGGATTTAGGCCTTAAACTGTCACCCTATTTCTGGAAAAATGTCACAGGAATCAATCTCAGCCATAACAGTTTAATTCAGCTCCCAAACAGGAAAAAATTACCAGATAATTACTTATCTGGATCTCTCCCACAACTCTATTAGAACATTTAGAAACTTTACATTCAAAAGACTGTGGCAGCTTTCAGTTTTAAAATTAAATTCAAACAAGTTTCGAATGAGTGAAAACATAAGTATGAACGTTTTTGCAGATTTAATCAACATAAAAACCCTAGATTTATCCGAAAATACTGAGCTCACTTTTCGAAGTTTGCCAATTCTGACCTACGGTCTTCAAAATTCCACTATTTTTTCCCTTTACTTAAACAAAATCCACTGCACATTTGGATTAGGTACAGAAATTAGAAAAGATGATGTTAGATATCTAAAACACACCAACCTTACGGAAATTCATTTATCTAGTAACAGAATAGAATTATTGGAAAAAGGGGTAATTCATTTTTTTCCTAAAACACTAAAGAGAATATCAATCGCTGACAACAGACTGGCATTTGGTACATACGTACTTGAGCTTAATGCATTGGAGAATGTGGAATGGATAAACGCAAGTATACAATATTCATCCAATAATCCCTCTGAAATTATCCAGAACAGAACGTGTGTTGAAAATGAAAATAAAAACAAACATTTGATAAACGTACAAAATTACTCACATGGTCGCATGGATAAGGCCGGTGAATCAAGGAAGTTATTTATGGGCTATAAAAATAGAAATGGGGGAAAATTTGCAAGATTTTATCAAAAGAAAATTTTACAAAACAGTTTTCCATTACCACCAAATGTAAAAAAGTTCTTTTACAACAAAAGTGGATTAAGGTATGAGATAACAGCAATGAGTGTAAACAAGGTGGAGGAAGTATATATTCAGAACAATATTCTATATTCATGGAAGGGTCCTATAGGAGCGGAAAGACTTCGAATACTGAACATGTCAAATAATTTTTGCTCTACAGTTTCCAAATTTTTTTTCAATCCCTTGGTAATCTCACTGAATTATACCTAAACGATAATTTATTGGGTTTTAGTTTGTCACCAGATACTGAAGGTCAAATATTTGCAAATCTTAAAAACTTGATTCGCTTAGAGTTGAGAGCGAATAGAATTTCAAATTTACCAATTCAAGTTTTTAAAGAACTTCGAAACATTAAGGATTTAGTTCTTGCTGATAATACGCTTACAACGCTAGACTTTTGCATTTCTACTTTAAAGAACTTACAGTTTCTTGATTTATCTGGAAACCAAATCCAGTTTCTTACCGACACAAATATGAAAGTCATTGACCGACAGACAGAAGAGGTTAGTTTAACTTTAAATCTTGCAAGAAATCCGATTTTGTGTAATTGTAAAACATTGTCATTTCTAAAGTGGATGGTAAACGGTCATGAAACTAAGAAGGTTAATTTTAAGTCATTTGAAAACTACTCCTGCACGTCCTCATCCCAAGGCAAACCATTATTGTTTTCAAAAATCAAAGAAAAGATTGAAAAGCTAGAAAAAGAATGCAATTCCTATATGTATTTGATTATATCCCTGTCATTCATCATTCTCATTTTCTTTTTTGTTCTCTTGTGTGGGTTGTTGTACAGATATAGATGGAAAATTCGTTATTTTTACTACATGACTAAAAGCCGATATCATGGATATAAATCTGTAAGAAGTGATAGCCAGTCAGATTTCAAATATGATGCTTTTGTTTCATACTCAGATGAAGATTTGCCGTTTATTCAGAAAATGATTTTGGAATTAGAAAAAAATAATGGGATACGTTTATGTATTCATCATCGAGATTTTGTTCCAGGATACGATATTTCCGAAAATATTATTACTGCTGTGAACAAAAGTAGAAAAACAGTCGTTATTTTGTCTCCAAACTTTATCAAATCCAGTTGGTGTATGTATGAGCTGCATATTGCAAAGATGGAAGAAATATATTCTCGAGAAAATGAAGGCGTTCTCGTTTTGATATTTTATGAAGAAGTTCCTGTAGATAAAATGCCGCTTAGTGTCATGGATCTCATCAAGCAAAAGTCGTACATTGAATTTCCTAACGATGAATATGGGGATCCAGTATTCTGGAGGAGAGTAAGTGAAACCCTTCAAGACGAAGTTTTATGCTAATAGAACGTGTATGTATAGTTTCATCTTTGTAAATTTGGTGCTACTTGAAGATGTTCAGGTTTTATTTTTCCATCTTTATAGCCTTTGATTTGTCTCATTGTTCTTTTTTGTGTGTCATTTTTCCCCCCAAAATATTTGCTATATTTCACAGGGGATGCTTACTCCTCCTACGCAACAGATCCCATCTCTAGTGCTTTCAGGGGTCCGTGCTTTTGAGACTTTCCCTGTACTCGGTCTTACTTGTAGAAACTACATAAATTTTATCGTCTGTAGGTATTTGCACTTTATGTTATTCTGTACCCAATTTTTAGCAAAAGGATGTTTTGTAAATATATCATGAATTATATCTTTTCTAATTTTTCTAATAGCATATATTTTAGTGTTCTTTTTCCAGTTGATGATTGTACCTTGTTATATTTGTTATGATGTATGGGGACTTTCAAAGAGGTTTCATATGGGAATGTATGTGGAAATTCAGCTTCCTATACAAGTAGTTGATTGACTGATAGATTGTAGAGCATAATTTTATTTGAAAATATGAGTCATGTCACAGAGTGGGAGGTGTAGTATAAGCAAGTAAGTACTATGTTAGGAAAGATTTCAGCTAGTTGTATGGCGGCAACATTTGAAAGAGGAAGAAGAAAACAAAGAGAGAAACTTCTGTAAATACGTAATTCTTATTTAGCTTGGTTAGAAATTTACCACCACACGTGATGACACAAAATTGTAATTCTGAAGAATCAGTTTTGCTTTTTCTAAACGTTGTAATATACAGAAACCCCATTATTTGTGTACCATTTGTATTATGCTTCTGATATATAATAAAAAGGCAAATGTAATTGATCCAACTTGGTGTCATTAAACATTTTTTTTTTTTTGTTTTGGAGTTTATACCTGGCCTTTTGATTTAAAATGGATTATATGATAAACTAGAAAGCATGTAGAAGACAACTGAAAGGTATAACAAGTTCATTCAAGCAAGGGAATATCAACATAAATTGTGACATACTAGCATATGATTGATTGATTTTACGTCGTTTTACGTCCCATTCGAAAAATTTTCACTCATTTAGAGACGTCACTATATACCGATGAAGGGCTTCAAATTAAGACCAATACTCGATACCCAGGGCTATTGAGCAGTGTGGATTCTTTATTGTGCCAACGCCTAATGTGACACGGGACCTTGCATATGCATATGCTGAAGATGTTTAGGCCCCAAGACAAAGCTCTTTGTAGCATTTAATGAAAATTGAAATTCATCTTTAAACTTATTTTCTAACAACAAAATAAATGATATACAGAATGTTTAGTCTACCAATGTGCACATATACTTTGATACTTATGATATCTGCCTCAGATACTCAAGTGTCAAGGTGGGTCCATCTGGATCTATAACCTCTGTCCAGTGGGTTCATTCACTTATGTGTAATTTTATGCAGAAAATAAATGAAACAGGTTTCATCTTTGAATGCCTAACCTAAGAAAATCTATGTTAACGCCTTTCTGCATCATTTAACTACTTTTTTTAAATTTCTGTTATACATTCAATTATCTGGAAATTCGAATTGTGTAGGGGTATTGTTTCAAGTTCAGAACTTATAATGTACTGAAGGTATAATGTACAACAGATGCTGTAGACTCTCAGGTTATTGTTGAGCACAGTTGCCTCTTCTTTTTTGGTGTAAACTTTACGGTATTTTTTTTTTTAGAACAGATGAGAGTTTTTGTTCGCCTGAGCCTAGAAAAGAAGAAATAATTTTATCCTGCCTTTGAAAGGAATTTAGAAAAAACCCAAAAACATTCAGTTTAATTTAACCCCAGTTATAGACCCAAACTGTCAGTTTTGAAATCATTATACGTATTATACAATAATAAAATCTGTTCAATTGATTAGAAAATAGAAATAGATTATCTTCTTGCATGAATGATTTTTTTTATGATACAAGCATAACATAAACTATGACAGAACAAGGATGCTTTTAAATTATACCTGTCATTTTAATTGTTAAAGATCAATGCCTAACTGCTAAATACATAAATATTTATTCAGTAGTAGCGAGGCATTGGGTGGAAAATCACCTGAATTATTTACCTGTCAGCATTTTCACATTATAAACTTGAACACATGAACGACCCCCAAACTCTGCCTGCATTTGACGTTATATATTTTCCTAAAAATATAACCTCCCACTTATAGTTCATAAGATGCAAATTGTTGTCATCCTGGCTTTTTATAGGAAAAACATTTTTTTTTTCATCGAAAATTCATCAAAATTAATTTCCTGCCATCATATTTATACGAAGAAATATCTTTCTGGGTGTTAACTTACACAAAGTGCAAATAATGAAAACTGCCTTTTAATCTCTGTTCACTACCTTAGGAACCCAATTGCTAAATTGAATGTTGAAATCAACATTACACGAGAAATTCACAGGAAAAGCCCTATTTTTGGTTGAAATATTCCTCTTCAAACTGTAATACTTATTCCTAAATAATAACCAGATAAAGTTAGTACAGTTCCTAAGAAAAAAAGGTGTGTATATAAATACTCATCCTGTTTCGCCCGAATAATCCCAATGTACCGAAGTAAGAATATCTAATACTATCAAAAATTAGACTAAGTTATTTCATTTTTATTATTGTTAACACAAGTCATAATTATTTCTTTTGGAAAAAGAAATACTGAAAGAACTTTCAATTCAAGGTATTACACTGCACATAATATAACGTTGATTAAAAGTAATATCTGCATTGAAAGAAGCATGTGTATTTTTGGAAATTATCAAATGATTGTTTTGTATTTTATTAAGGAATACTGGATGAACTAAGAATCTTGGTTGTAAGGAAGTACAATTCGAATTCCTAGTGAGTTCCTTATAAGCATGTTGTACTGTATTACAAGGGTCGGGATGTTGAAGACATTTATGGACTAAACTTAGAATTTTCACTTGGTTAAGTCTTGCAAAGTAATATTTTGTAGACGACTTCAATTTGCAAAGATAACCTGACTGCCACATCACATAACAAGTCTAAATAGAAAATCAAATCGTCCTCAATATGAAGTTCTTTCTGTAAATTATTTTAAATTATTGAATTAATCTAACATCTTGCCCAATCGGATGTCTTGCGCATTTGACAATGTGTTGCACATGTAACTTAGAAACTTGGAAGCGGATACTTATTGCTTGACCAACTGTGATCGCCCGAAGGCGATCACAAGAATTTTTTTTAATTTTTTTTTTTTATTCTTCTCTTTTCTGATTATATTATTCATATACCCGTTATATGTTATCATATACTCTGTCTTGTTTATGTTGAGAATGCAGAAATTTACAATTGATTAACTTCACGTCAGATGAAGCTTGATTGAGGGATAGTGATACGTTATAGAGTATAACGAGTTTTTTTTCTTCTGGAAAGAATGAGTGGATTTAACGCCAAATTTTGGGTCTTTTTGCAAACCCTCTACCGAGCTGTAAATGAAGTGAATCCAAAATATTTCACAAGCAATAGCAAGATCTACATATACATGATTATATTAGATAAATTAAATGTGCAAAAGAAATGCCTTGTTGCCAGGAATCAAACTTTCAAACTTGAAGTAACGATACCTTAATGTCGTCGTCGGGAATTTGTCATGTATCGGAGTGATTCTTAGAGCACATAATCAATATTAATAAGAGGCTATTCATCGGTGTCAGTGTCAACATCTCTCTCTCTCTCTCTCTAGAAATTCGAATATGTGAGTATTATATTTCAGCGATGTCAAAATGAAATTAAAAGATTTCTAAGGTAAATCAATATTTAATTTGCTAAATTAAATTCTGAGAATGGCAGACCAAACAAAAACGTGATTTAGATCGAGGTCACGCGTTTAGGAACATAATGCAATTGTTTTCACAAGTTCACTCGCAGCTGGACACCACGTGATGATTCGTAATATTCAAATTCAAAAGATACAGTACAGGCCACGAGTTTTCCCCGAAAAACACGGGGCCCCGTGGATCGCAAGTCCACGCTTTTGCGTGGACCTCGATCAATGTCGGCGTCTTTGAAGTTAGGATGTCTGCGCACCGTGTAACACGGTGTGTACACGCGGTGTATCACAGTGTCCCATTACGATATCACGCAGAACTTAAAAAAAATATCCATTGTCTTTGTTTAATCAATTATAATATCAATTTCCATTGAAATAAGTTTTTTTCCCTTAAATATTAGTTCTTCATTATCGATATACAGATGTTTGAACAAATAAGATGTCCTAAATCTAAGATCCATGTGCTCGTCCCCAGCACCGAAAAGCCAAAGTCTTCAAATGTGTACACACATCCGTGTAAGTCGTGTTTCAAAACCTAGTTATACGAGAGAAAATATATTTTCGGTAAACTATTATAATGCTAGTTTATTATAGCATTATAAAAAGCATTATAAAATCCCAGGAATTTATAATGCTTAGAAGGAATAGCGATTACACTTTCATAAATAAATTACCTGGTTGTCTTTTCTTTCGATTATAGCTGTGTTCATTTTAATTACAGTCATTTTCATTTTTTTTTTTTTGGCACGTATGCATTCATGTGTCGTATTTATCAGATGCATATTTTATTTTATACATCATTTCTACATAAAGAGAATTTTAAAAAAATATCTAAAATAAAATGTAAAACGTGTCAGATACACGCACATAATTCATAAACTCTCTGATAATTTAAGGATTATTGCAGTCTGTAATCTTGTAAAATATGGAGGTAAATATATATCACACACAAAAAAAGTTGAGTTTTGGTATACTGTACAAATATTACCTTATCCTGAAATTATTTAATGAAAAATGTGTAGAACGGTTAGCGAAAAAAAAAAAATCAATTACATGTAGCGAATGCAGTTCGGGGATGTACATGCATAGAATAAAAGCTTCTCTTATGATCAAAGTCTTTGTAAAGTTATTATCATGGTTTTAGAGAAAAAAATATGTCGTTACATGTAGTAAAATCCC